TCCCTGCTGCTCTCTTTCTCACTCTGTGTACTGGAGGAAGAGCAGTTGCTGCGGTCAAGGCAGAGAGGCAAGAATAATACCTCCAGATTTTACCAGAGCCTGGATTTCATTACTTTCTTCCATGAAAAGGGAGAACTAGGAAGTGAAGATAGAACCACTCAGCCCATTTAAGATAATCACAAAATCTGCTGGGGGCAGACCAGAGAAGCTGCTCTCAAAAGCTGAGAAGCATCAGTAAACACAGCCCATTTCCCAGTTCCTCCCATCCTGCTCCAAATTTGTTTTACTCTCAGCAGAACACAGAGGTATTTGTGTTTCTGTGTTTCCAAATCTCCAAACTTTCTATGAGACCAGAAATGGACAGAAATCCATGCAGGTCAACAGAGTGAGTGGCTGTAGGTGGAGACTGTCTCCTACAGATCCCCTTTCCATCTGAAGCCGCAGCTTTGCACTGCCAATTGGAAAGAGAGCATCACACTTCTTCGTAGTGCCTTATCAAGTTTTGTGCTGTCAAAATAACAGCTTCTACAAAAGTAACATTTGCCTGAATATCTGAGAGTGTTCATCTCTAAAAAATGGGTGAAAAGCTCATAATCCTAACATGAGGAAACGTTGATAAGTTTGTTTCATTTACACAGCAGGTACCGTTCAATTAGAGCACACTTTTTACCACAGCACATATTTTATCATATCTGAACCTGTATAAATATTTGTAAGCATATTTACTCAATATTTTCTCTATTGCTCAGAGGTTTCTAAATTTGCCAGTCATTTGAATTTAAAACTCTCTTAATTAGAGACTGGTTGTCAAATGGATGTTCTTAGATTACAGTGGAAACAGAGGGCACAACAGGAGCACAGCAACTAGCATTAGTGGGAAGCTCACATTGATAGGAGAAAAATGTAGTATTTGAAATGATCAGCAAGAGGAAACTGAGCATCATCAAATCCTTGATTCATGTAATGGAAACAGGGGGCACTTGCGTTTGACTCAGAAAGACAGAATTTTGTCTAATTATTAAGAAGCTTCTCCACACAATACTGAACAGAAGAAGCAGCTCTTTTGGAAGAGCTACTTAATAACATCTTAGTAAAGTTGGTATTCAAACGTGGCCTTCCATTTCTCCCATGTGCGCAGAAACATCCCCACTCCCGTCACTGACTGGCAGCCTGGAAAGAGCCAGTTCCAACGTAACAACAAAAGCCCTATTTTGTGCTGTTAAAAATGGCATTCTGCAAAACACCCAGTGCTTTCTCACATCACAAGGTTACACCACTAAACTGTTCAACTATACACTACAAGTGAAAAAGTTCTAATCTGCTTTAAGACTCTCTTAAGGAACGCATAGTATCAATACAAGTGATTCCTGTAATATTCAAATGCCTTGCAAGCATTTGCATCCTCTGAGGTAAAGTGAGCACTACCCAGCACATTTTGATGCTTTCTTTCAGTAGCAGGTCAGGTTACTTTTAGATATGGGTAAGCACATTTAGTTTTTAATTAAGCATGACCCTTTCCCTAACACTGAGCTGAGCAGAACCCACACTTGAGGGTGCAGGTTAGATATGTACAGTATATTGCAGCAGACTCAGATAACGGAGACCCTGGTGAATTTCAAATCAAGTTTGAAGATACAGTAAAATTAAAGAGCGACAGAACTTTCTTAGCCTTATAACAAAAGTTCAAAAAGTTATTGTTATCAGTAGGTGCACAGGGGAAGGGGGGATGGGGAAAGGACAAAGCATTAATAGCAGTGAATAAGAAAAGCTAAAATAACAATGATGGCACACACAGGAATGTAAGAACTAACCACAAATAAATTTAGGGTGGAAATGGGAAGTTTTCTAGCTATGAAACAGTGAAGCTGATCGGAGCTGTAGGGCCAATGCATCCATCTGTTCTGCTGGAGCTCAATAAATTTCTGATAGGATCATCTAACACACTTCTGCAAAGATAGCCTCTGGGTCCAATCTCCTGCTATGTCTATGCTGCTAAACTGAGACAGAGCCAGGGACTGACCCTTGGCCCTGAGGCCAACTGGCGTAGACTGGCTTGTGTTCAACTTACTCAGACTCCACCAGCATTACATAGCACTTGGCCCCGGGTTTCCTCAAGGCTCCTCGTCTCAAGAGTCCCACTGCACCACATACTTACTTTGTGTGTCTCAGTTCAAAGTGCATAAAGAAGCAAACGACTGTTTTGCAGCCCACCAGAGCGGTATTTTCACAGCATGAAA